CGGTACCAGCCAGTCCAGTCCAGTCCCGTCAGTCCGCTGGGGTATACCCCAGCCTGTGTCTGTTTTCGAGATCATTCTTGACTTGCACATTTTGGAGTACGTGCGTTGGAGTCTTGCTTGGGGAGCTGCGTTGTGCCATCTCGCTCCCCCCTTCTTCCTCCATCTCCATCTCTATCACTAGCGGAGCACCACACCTGGTGGGTCCGCTAAATTGGTATCGGAGCGGAAACGTTCCCCACTCCCACCCACCACACTGCACAGCAGGGAAAAACATCAAAACCCGACAGTCGGGTTTTCGGCTGTTTCTCGGGCGTTTTCGGGCGAAAAAGCGGGAAAAAGGTGCTGCAGCAGGAGATCGATACGTGGCAAAAAAGGGGAAGTCATCATGACATATGCGTGGAAGCGCCAAGGCCAAAGCCGCCGCACACGCAGACGCGCCATGCTGCCCCGCCCCGCCCCACTCCCGAATTATATTAATTAAGATCCGAGATGCATGCTGTCGCTGGGGTTTGAACCCAGGCATCTGTTGGCCATGCGCGTGCGTGTATCACCCTCATAACACACTGGCCACAGTCTATACATAACCTTGTAACACGGCAACCTCGTGTTGAAGAGGTGCTGGCTATTTACCCTCCCCCCCCGCCGAGCAGCGAGCAGCGGCCAGTGAGGCAGTAACGAGAGAGACTGCTATTTACCCCCACCCCCCCCCCCGTGGCTGCTGCTGCCTGTGCACATGGCCACCTGCAGTGCCACGTGGCACTTTGCTGTGGACTGAAGACCCCTCTGGTTAGGGGGCTGCGCCACAGCATTATTATTATTATTTTTTTTCAGCAGCTTCGCATCAGCTCAAGATTTCCCCCCGGCTAGGGGGCTGTGTGACTGCGGCAGTAGGGTGGCTGATCTAGATCTCAGCCAACCCTACATCATCATCATCACCCATCAGGGTATGCTCACACGGCACACCCTGGATTTGTTGTGCTGCAACTAGGGGCTGATCAAGATCTCAGCCCCCTTACACCCTCCAGTTGGTTGGCTGCAGCGAAGGCCAAGACCCTCCTGGTCTTGGTATACCTTGTGCCCTTGGAGACACCAAGGGGCAGGTATTATCTCTCTCTCCCCTTTTCTTTCCCCACCTTCCACTGCCTCTCTCCCCTCCTCTTTTTACCTTCCCCACCCCACCTTTTCTCCCACTAACCACTATCTTACCCCCTTTTTCTTCATTTCTTTTCTTTTCTCTCCTCCTGTCCTATTAGTTTCTTGATCACTCTCCATCTTTCCCCATCCTTTTTCTCTCCCATTCTCTCATCCTCCTCTCCCCCAGCTGCCACCACATCATTCCCCCACCTTCCACTTCCATCTTTTTCCCTTTCCCACCTATTTTTTTCTTCTCTCCATCACTTTCTCATCCCCCCTTCCCCCCCAACTTCAATTTTTCTGTTTTTTTTTTTTAAATATATATATTTTTCCAAAAATTCGAAATATCTTCTTTCCCACCTTCTTTTCTCATTTTCTCATTTATTTTATTTATTTATTTTATTTATTTTGAAAATTTGATTTTCTCTACGGCAACCCTAAATCTGATTAGGTGTTAGTCTTTCTTGCTTTCGGCACACGTTTTGACCCCGTGGGGGTAACGAAGTACTGCCGAAATTTTCTGATTTTCCCTTCCTTAGTCTTTTTCGGCACACTTCCACCCCATGGGGGTAACGAAATGCTGCCAAAATTTTTGACAAATTAGATACTTCATTCCCCCCCACCTCCTCATCCACTTATTTACTTATTTATTTATTTATTTATTTATTATTTCTTTATTTATTCTTTGAAATTTCTTTTTTTATTTTGCGGCATATTGACACCTAGTGTGCTCACCTTGGTCTCTCCTTTCCCCTTGGCACATTCTTGACCAAGTGGGGGGTCGGGAAATACTGCCGAAAATTTCAAAAAAATAAATATTGTTTTCCCTTCACATCTTTTTACTTATTTATTTAATTATTTTTATTATTTATTTATTTCCTTATTTATTTTTATTTTCTCTCGAAATCTCGCAGTTTATTTATTTTTCTCCCGCCTTCCCCCCCCTATGCTCGCTATTTTACTTTCTTGATTAGGTCACCAGTACCCTACCCTAACCACTTAAACTTCGGTTAGGGTTTTCTTAGGTTTTTTTTAGGGTTTAGGGTTCTTCAAAACCCGCCCCTACTTCCCCGTCCTCTTCGGGCACCCTGGACCCGAACCACCCCTCCCCCTTTGACGGCGCCCGCGCTAGCCTTGCTAGCACCGTTCGCCGCTTTCTACCTCGGACTTCCCCCTACGCCCTCCGCTCACGCGGACCTCTTCTGGCCCCCTCCAATCCGGTCCGTCATCTCCCCATGGCCGACGGTGTGTCACACGCCACCGACACGGCGATGACCACGACATCGGGCTCCACACCCGTGCCGACGGACCAAGGCCATCAGCCCCAGGGGGATCTGCACACCCTCCTCACCTCCCTCCTTGCGCCCATCCAGACGCAACTCGTGACCCTTGCCCCCATCCAGGCGCAACTCACAACCCTCGCGCCCTTACAGGCACAGGTGGCGATCCTTGTCGCCGGCGTGGGGCAACTCCAGGACGCTGGTCGTCCTTCCTCTCCTCACCCTATCTCTTCTCCTGGCTCCCAGTTCGGATCCCCCGTCCTCCAACAGGGTGGCCACGGTGGAGTTTCCTCCTCCGCCGCCCCTGACCCGACCATCTTGGTGACCGTCCACGCCCCTAGCACGACGGCCGCCACGAGTCAGGTCCTCCCTCAGTCTACGGGCGCACCCGCCCAGACCTCGGTCACTACGACCACGGTACTACAACCCACTACCAAGGTCGCAGTTTTTCCGGGTGCCCCACTTCTCCCTCCTCTTCGCACGACCACAACGCCATCTGACTCTACCCCTTGTGGGATGCCTCGCGCCGCTCGTGCGTCTCCCCCTGCCATACCTCGCTCAACCTACGTTCGAGGTTGCGAGGACGAGATCGCCCAGCTCCGGACTGACCTCGCCCTCTCACGCCTTCAGCTACCCCCACCCTCACAGGTGGCCGCGCCTTCCGGTGCACCCCCTTCTTCCTCTATTCTTCCTTCCATGCAGGCTCGCTTCCCTCGCCCTGCACCCTACCCATCCCCATCCTACCTCCTTCCCATCCCCTCGGTTGTTGCGACCTCTTCTACCGCAGCTCCCGCGCAGCCTGCCACTGTTTCCCATGCCGCTCCACCATGTGGCCCGGGCGTACAGTCAGGTGCCCCCCCTCCTCCAGGACCTGCGCCAACTTATTCAGGCGTAGCGCAGTCCCCTGCTCCTCGATCCCCTCGCCGCTAAAACGGTGGCGCACCACTCATCCGCTTGTCGGACATTGCCTTGTATGACGGTACAGGCATATGCGTGTCTAGGTGGCTGCAATCTACCACCCGCACGCTCCAGCTCATGGGCGCCACACCCGACACGTGGGTGGGTCACCTCTCCACGCGCCTACGTGGCGGTCCTTTCGAGGCCTGGGAGGATTTCTACGCGTACTCCCTTCGTGAGGGTTGGACCCCGACCTTCATGGATTTCTAGGCGTTCCTCGAGGATCGCTTCGGAGCCCGATACGACATGACTGACACCTTCGAGCATGTCGTCACTACACGCTGGTCCGGCTCTGGTGGCGCTGCCGGTCTGGATCGCCACATCCAGGTCTTTTAGGACGCCCGCCTCATTTGTGACGTGGCGTTCCTCCCCGAGGCGGCCCTTATCGATCGTTTCTTGGCCAGCCTTCCGCTCGAGTACCGCTCCGAGCTATGGCGGTACGAGTTCTCATCGGCCCCGCAGGCTTACGAGGCCGCCACAGACCATCGGCGGATGCGGGCCCGTCTTCACCCCGCCTCCTCCTCCCAGCCATAGCGTAATGGTTACGCCTCCTCCTCCTCTCACGACACTTCCTAGCGCCGTTCGCCTTTCCATGGTCGCCCCCGCCGTTCCACGCAGCAGGGCCGCCACTTCTCGCGCCGCTTCAGCGCGCTCGAGTATGGTGAGCAGGACGCTGGTGCCCCGCTGTCACCAGAGGGTGACCATAGCGCCGACCTCGACCTCGGCGATGCCGTCCACCACCACCTGGAGGACCCTACTCTCCCTATGGCTGAGCGCCTCCAGCTTATCCTTTCCACCCTTTCCCAGGCACGCAGCCGCCCTGGTCACGCTAGCGCATCGCCCCCCGAGGTCCCTCAGCAGGACCTCCCTCAGGGCTTTGTTCCTCCTCGCGGTGTCCTTTCCGCCGAGGAGCGCGCGACTATTATGGGCTGACGCGGGTGTTTGCGATGCCGTCAAGATGGTCATACCTCCTCGCGGTGCCCTTATACCACCGCCCTTGACCGCCACTACGCTGACCTTTCCCGCCAGCGTCGTGCTCAGTCCCCCCCCGGCGCCTCGCATCCCCGCGGTGCCTCCTAGCCACGGTGCAGTGTACACCTGCGCCCTCCTCAGTAGTGGGCTTCCCGACATCTCCATCGCGGTTCGCCCCTCTCGCTACTGGAGTTGAGGTATCGCAGGNGTTCGCCCCTCTCGCTACTGGAGTTGAGGTATCGCAGGACTCGACAGAGTGTACTCAGCCCTCTGTCGCAGTACCGTCTACGCCTCCGCAGACCACCGTCTCCCCTCCTTCCCCGCCGCGACTACCGACGCGTCGAGCCATTCGCTCAGCCCGTTGCAGCGAGCAGCTCGTGACTCGCGAGGACGTTGTGTCCTCTCTTCTAGACTTGAGCATGCTCCAGGCTCGTCAGGAGCGACTCACCCTCCATGTCGCTGCACTGTGTCGCCTTCTCGCCATCCTCTCTGACCCTGATCGCACCCTCCCGATCATCCCATTACGACTCGGGACCTCCACGAGGGTGTACTCCGCGCTGTGGGTTTCCGGTTCTCAGGGCGACTTCATTCACCCACGCGTGGTGAAAGAAGCTCGCTTACCCACGACAGGGTCTCCGACTCCCATCTCCGTTACCTTAGGGGATGACAAGACCTAACGCTTCTTCGATCAGACGGTCACCGACCTCCCTTTCTTCCTCACTCTGGAGCCGACTGATCGTTCCCTGGCGTCTCGTCGCCACCGCTCCTCTGCATATTTTGATGTGATGGAGACGGGGTACGACTCCATTCTCGGCACTCCGTGGTCTCGTCTGTTCCGCAGCACTGAGGCCGATTGGGCGACCAACACTCTCGTTCTCAAAACGAATTGTGGACAGACGTATCGCGTACCTTTTATAGGTACCACTGCGACACCACGCCCCAATCCTCCTCTCCCGGAGCTTTCTGTGCCCACACCATCTCCTTCTATCACTGTCACTTCGCCTTGGCAGTTCGCCCACTTCCTCCGACAGGACGACGTCACCTTCTTTATGGTGAACGTGACGGATCTCTTACACTATGATCCACCCTGTCCCGACGCCGAGCTCCTCCCTCTGGAGCCAGATCCTCCTTCTATCTCCATGGCTCCCATCTCTACTTCCGTCCCTCCGCCGTCCGTCGAGCCCACCCCGTCGTCGGGCGCTGACGCTGACGCTGAGGAACTCGCACGATATACGGTTGACCTGGAGCCCGCAGTTCGTGACCTCATCCGAGAGTACCACGACGTTTTTCCATCGTCGTTCTCGTACGTCGGCATCCCACCGATGCGTGACGTCAAGCACTCCATTCAGCTTGTGCCTGACTATCGTGTTCACGACCAGGCACCCTACAGACTCTCGATCCCCGAGGCCACCGAACTCAAGCATCGGCTTGAGGAGCTCCTGAGACTGGGTTTCATTAAACCCAGCAACTCCCCGTGGGGTGCACTCGTCCTCTTTGCTCGCAAAGCGGATGGAACTCTCCATCTCTGCATCGACTATCGCGGTCTCAACCGCCACACGGTTAAGAACAGCTACCCCATGCCTCGTTCTGATGAGCTGTTCGACCGCCTAGCAGGCAACCGCTTCTTTACGAAGATTGATCTTCGTAGCGGTTACCATCAGATCCGCGTCGCTGAGCTGTTCGACCGCCTAGCAGGCAACCGCTTCTTTACGAAGATTGATCTTCGTAGCGGTTACCATCAGATCCGCGTCGCTGCAGCCGACCAGCCGAAGATAGCGTTCCGATCGCGCTTCGGCCACTACGAGTTTACGATGATGCCATTCGGCCTCACCAATGCACCCGCCACCTTCCAGAGGGCGATGAACGACATCTTCAGGGACATCCTGGAGCAGTACATTCTCGTCTACCTCGACGATATCCTGGTCTACAGTCGTACCCTTGAGGAGCACCGCAGACACCTCCGCGACGTCCTTGACCGCTTGCGCAGATATAGCTTTTATGCCAAGCTGAGCAAGTGCCGCTTTGCCCAGCACAAAGTGAATTTCGTAGGACACTACGTGTCTGACCAGGGTCTCCACATGGATGACGCGAAGATCACTGCTATTGCGGAGTGGCCCGCTCCCACATCTGCCAAGCAGCTTCGCAACTTCCTAGGCCTAACCAGCTACTATAGTAATTTCATCCGGGGATACGCTTGGTATTCCTACGTCCTTACCTCCACCCTCCTCTGGAAGAACCCACCCTGGGCTTGGACACCCCTCCACGAGGACGCCTTCCGCGCCCTCAAGAAGGCGGTGACATGCGCACCGGTTCTTCACCTACCCGATTTTGATCACCCTTTTATCCTTACCACCGATGCGTCAGACTTTGCTGTAGGAGCAGTGCTTTCTCAGGTCTTTCCCTCCTCTCTTGATTCCTCTCATCCTCGTATCCCTCTCTTCCCACCACCTACCCCTACCACTGCTTCCCGACTGACGCCTACTCGTCCACCTACTGACGAACCTTCTATTGACTATTCTCCTACCATCGCCGATGACAGCACTGTCGAGTCTCGCTCAGGTGATTGTCCGATAGCCTTCTACTCCCGTCAACTCCTGCCCGCCGAAATAAACTACACTGCTAATGAACGTCAGGTTCTCGCAGTAGTTTATGCTGCTCGGCACTTGCGTCACTACCTGCACGGGGCACCATTCACGGTGCGTACGGACAACTCTGTTGTCCAGGCTTTTCTGACAAAACCGAAGCTCACTCCTCGATAGGCTCGTTGGTGGCGCGACCTATCCGAGTTTAGTTTCACCACTGAGCACATCAAGGGTGAGACTAACCTGGTCGCAGATGCCTTATCCCGGCGCCCTGACCACGACCAGGAGCAGATCCAGCTCTCTTCCATCTCGGTCACCACCGTCCACCACTCAATGATCGACGAGTTTCGCACTCAGTACCGCCACTACCCCGACTATCGCGACATCCACGCGACCCTTCGGAGTGGCAAGACCATCCCGAACTACTCTCTCGGGGGAAACGGTCTTGTGTACTGACATGGTTCACAGGGCACCAGAGAGCCTCGTATTTGTGTTCCCTCCATTGGACAGCTACGTGTCCAAGCAGTAGCAGAGTTCCATGACCAGGCAGCCGTCGGTCATATGGGCTTCCACAAGACGTTGGCTCGTGTGAGCCGCCGGTACGTCTGACCGAAGCGCAAGGACTTTGTGAAGGCCTACGTCGCAGAGTGTCCCACCTGTCAGGAGGTGAACGGTGCGAACCACCTGCCTTATGGTTTGCTCCAGCCTCTTTCTATCCCTGAGGGTCGTTGGCAGTCCATCTTGATGGACTTTATCGGTCCCCTTCGTCTTCCGACCCCTCGCGGTCATGATGCTATCCTGGTCGTCGTCGACCGCTTCACGAAGCGTGCACGCTTTGTTCCGTGCTGCTATGCCATCAGTGCCCGTGAGGTCGCCGACATCGTGTTTGACCGAGTCGTGCGTGACCACGACTTACCCCTGAGCATCATATCTGACCGTGACCCGCGCTTTACCAGCCGATTTTGGCGACGACTCCACGAGGTGTACGGCACTCAGCTCCGCTTCTCCTCGTCTTACCATCCTCAGACTGATGGTCAGACCGAGATCAAGAACAAGACTCTCGGAGATATTCTCCGAAAGATTGTTCGTGACGACTAGCAATGAGATCTCCATCTTGCCCACGCGGACATAGCCTACAACCACGCTATCTCGCCAGCCACGGGGATGTCTCCTTACTATTGCGATCTCGGCTATCATCCTCGTGTTTCCGCGGACTTCCTTCGACCGTTCCAGATGCACCCCGACACGAGTTATCCAGCGATGGATGATTGGGTTGCACACATGACGTCGATCATGAAGACCGCACATGAGCACATAGCCGCTTCCCAGGCCCGCATGGCAGCACGTGCGAACCGATCGAGGATGGATCACCCATTCAAAGTCGGTGATGATATGCTTATCGACGCCCGCCACTTACAACTCGAAGCGGACATGCTTCGCAAGTTTCGGCGTTGGACCATGCCGCATCCTCCAGGCCGTCCGTTCTGATACGGCATCTAGCCCGGTCAGCTTCCGTGTGAAGCTGCCTGACTACCTACGCCAGGCTCGTGTGTACGATGTCTACCACATCTCGTTACTGCGTCCTTACTGCAGACCGTCACCCGCGCTTTACCAGCCGATTTTGGCGACGACTCCACGAGGTGTACGGCACTCAGCTCCGCTTCTCCTCGTCTCACCATCCTCAGACTGATGGTCAGACTGAGATCAAGAACAAGAATCTCGGAGATATTCTCCGAAAGATTGTTCGTGACGACCAGCAGTGGGATCTCCATCTTGCCCACGCGGACATAACCCACAACCACGCCATCTCGCCAGCCACGGGGATGTCTCCTTACTATTGCGACCTCGGCTATCACCCTCGTGTTCCCGAGGATTTCCTCCGACCGTCACAGATGCACCCCGACACGAGTTGTCCCGCGCTGGATGATTGGGTTGCACACATGACGTCGATCATGAAGACCGCACATGAGCACATAGCCGCTTCCCAGACCCGCATGGCAGCACGTGCGAACCGATCGAGGATGGATCACCCATTCAAAGTCGGTGATGATGTGCTTATCGACGCCCGCCACTTACAATTGAAGCGGACACGCTTCGCAAGTTTCGGCGTCGCTTCTTTGGACCATGCCGCATCCTCCAGGCCGTCCGTTCTGATATGGCATCTAGCCCGGTTAGCTTCCGTGTGAAGCTGCCTGACTACCTACGCCAGGCTCGTGTGTACGGTATCTACCACGTCTCGTTACTGCGTCCTTACCGTAGACCGTCTGAGCGTTTCGCCGAACGACCATATGAGCGCCCTCCACCCATCATGGTGGACGGCCACGAGAAGTTCCTCGTTTCAGACATCATTGGTCGCCGAGTCACCAACGACAACCCTACCCACGTCGAGTATCTCGTACGTTGGAAGGGTTATCCTGATGAGGAGGCTACCTGACGCCCCTTGAGCACTTGTAGCACGCTCGCATGTTGGTGCGTGCCTATGACCGTGCTCGTTGTGCTGGGTTTACTGCTCCTCCTCAGCCCACTGACCCTCCTCCTTCTCCCCCGGCTGAGGAGACCGCTGAAGTCGAGTCTGCTCCATCTGAGGCAGACCTTCAGCAGCAGTCGAATGCTTCTGAGTGTCCACAGCGCACTCGTCGTCGTCCTGCTCAATACGACGATTGACTATGACTTACCTTCCCACGTCTTTGACTTCTCCGTACTCCATCCACTCCAATTTTGCTACTTCAGCTCGTCGACGTTGCGGCTCTTCCGTGACGGCATTCCGGACTTCTCATTGCAAATGTCATCGACAGCTTCACGGACTTCGTCACGATCAGCTCTGCCTACTTCAGACGTCGTCACTCTCTTACCACTTTACCTTGTATTGTACTCTTGTTGTGTCGCATGATGGTCTTTCTTTAGCCGGGTTCCTCTCAGTTGGACTCTCCCTTGGTATACGCATAGGCATCGGGACCGTAGCGTTGCTCGGGCTTCCCAGCTTACGGATCGAGCTCCGACTTCCCTCACCTTAGGAGTCATTTGCATGATTCCCCTACCCATCACTTTCTTACCCTCTGCCGGCCCTCACGCCATAGTTAGGCAGCCCCGCATGCTTCATCTAGGTGCGCCCAGTATATCAGGCTCCCTTGTTCCCTTGCATGGTCGACCCTCCATAGCGGTCACCCCTTAGTCGAGCTTTACCCGCCCTGATGGTCTATCTGTTAGGGTCATTGGTTCTGTTCGCTCCGAGTTCCCTACTCATTGAGCCTGATGACATGTGTCTCCCTTTTATCTATGTGTGGATGCCCTTAGGAGTTTTCGACCCCTAGGCTGCATTCGCCACCCTCAGAGACCATCCCACCCTTTGGTTTGCGACACACTCCTCTCGTGACATATGGTTGATTTGTTGTTGCCTTGTTGCTCTCAGACTGAGGCTACTGCCTCTGACATTTCTAGGATTTAGTTGTTCTGCTTTTGCTGTTCTTAGGACTTATACACTAGTCAGTTGTTCCCAGAATGAGGCTACTGCCTCCAACACTCTAGGATCTAGTTGTCACTACTTTCTGCTTTCCTAGGACATGTACGCTAGTTAGTTGCTTCTGCTTTCCTATGATATGTATGCTAGTTAGTTGCTTCCACTTTACTTAGGCTGTTAGCTGTGACATTGCTGTTTTGTGACATTTTCTAGCCTAGGTTGCATCACATGGACTCAGCATGGAGCTTGCTCCGCATCCTAGACTACTCAGGTTTTCTTTTCTTTGGTAGAGTTTCGCTTCTTGGTGGAAGCGTGTTTGTATCTAGGCGATCCATCACAGGCCGAGGATCGTGTAGCGGACCTCTGGTTGGTTGGCCTGTGAGACCAGCCCCTTGGCCTGTTCTCACAGACCTGTGTTTTATTTGGGGGCAGTCCAGTCCAGTCCAGGCCGGTACCTATGTTGGTACCAGCCAGTCCAGTCCAGTCCCGTCGGTCCGCTGGGGTATACCCCAGCCTATGTCTGTTTTCGAGATCATTTTTGATTTGCACATTTTGGAGTACATGCGTTGGAGTCTTGCGTGGGGAGCTGCGTTGTGCCATCTCGCTCCCCCCTTCTTCCTCCATCTCCATCTCTATCACTAGCGGAGTACCACACCTGGTGGGGCCGCTACATGGAGGTACTAGTGGGGCCCACTGCCCAAGGATCATATTATCAAATGAAATGCAACGTCAAGACACGCCTCTTCCCATTAAACCACCAGTACTTGGCCCAGCTGTCAAGTCCGAGCCTCGGCCGACCGGTATGCCGAACCTTGTCGAGGCTCGAACTACTGGGGGCTAACTTGCCAAACCTACTCGGAGAAAAACACGAGAAAAAAAAGAGGAAAAAAAAAAAAAAAAAACAGAAAATGCAAAAAGATACGACAGATAAAACAGGATGAAATCCATTAATAAAAAAAAACATGGAAAAAAGAAAAAACACACTCACTACCTCGACATACACAAAAATAATCATGGTGGTGTATCTTTTCATGTTCTACCAGAAGATTCACTCTCGTTTTGCACATTTCGAGAGTGGTGGAGCGACCGAGAGAGAGAGAGAGAGGGGTTCGGTGACCTGCACGGAGGCCGGTGATAAACTCGCCGCCCATCTCTCTCTCTCTCTCTCTCTCTCTCTCTCTCTCTCTCTCTCTCTCTCTCTCTCTCTCTCTCTCTCTCTTGCTCGCTCGCTCGCTCGGTCACTCGATCACTCTCGAAATGTGCAAAACGGGAGTGAATCTTCTGCTAAAACATGGAAAGATACACCGCTATGATTACTGTCTTTTGTGTTGTCCAGAGAGAGAGAGAGAGAGAGAGAGAGAGAGAGAGAGAGAGAGAGGGGCGGCGAGTTCGTAGAGGGTGTTGTAGAGGCCACCACCCATCCCATCCTCGCGTCCAATTTTAAAATTTTACTAGGCACACATTGATCGCCGGAAGCGGTCAGTCGTGGTCGCTCTGAGGCGAGGCCACCACCCATCCCATCCTCGCGTCAATACTCCTAGCGCATCCCCTATCCCTACTATCCTACCTCAGTGTGACCAGCACTCAGGACCATCTCCCTACGTAGCGATGGGAACTTGGACCGAACAGTAGTGATAGGCACCAGGGCTAGCTACCCAGCTCTGGTTGAAGCATAGTCGAACGAGGCTCGTTGTACGAGTACTTCGGACACCAGGCTCAAGCAATCACCTATTGGCCCCTAAATTGACCAACTAGTAACTCACGCCCTTTACTCGCCCACCACAGACCTAGCTGTATATTTAATGCGGGGTACTTATCATCGAGACGCCTATCATCATCACCAGTTGGAGCCGACCAAACCAACCAGTGGCTCACGCCCTCTACTCTTCCACCACAGACCCTAGCTGTATATTTAAGGCGGGGTACTTATCATCGAGACGCCTATCTTCATTATTAGTTGATCGTGACCTCCACCCAACCCTTGTGTGTGTGTGTGTGTGTGTGTGTGTGTGTGTGTGTGTGTGTGTGTGTGCGTATGTTTGTGTGTGTGTGTGTGTGTGTGTGTGTGTGTGTGTGTGTGTGAGCCCCCTAAGTTGACCAACTAGTAACTCACGCCCTCTATTCTCCCACCACAGACCTAGCTGTATATTAATGCGGGGTACTTATCATCGAGACGCCTATCATCATCACCGGTCAGAACCCAACAAACCAACCAATGACTCACGCCCTCTACACTCCCACCATAGACCCTAGCTATATTTTTAAGGCGGGGTACTTATCATCGAAACGCTTATCATCATTATCAGTTGATTGTGACCTCCTCTCAACCGTATGGTTGTGCATGTGCCAACCCTATGGTTGTGTATGTGTGTATGTACTCCGTAACATAGATGTGTGTCCGTGGGCTATATATATGGTTTTTGTATGCTGCTCCCCACCATGGAGCATTTGCGAAGTGAGTACTGAGTACAGGTGAGAGGTGCTCCTACCACCTCCACTAGTACATGTATGTATGTGTGTACCTTGAGCTATACATATGTGTGTATGGATTGTGCTATCTGGGGTAGTATCTCATTGTATGTGTATGTGGTAGAGACAGGTCTATTTGGACAGGACCCCCCCAAAGTCTGAAACCAGAGTCGAACTTGTGACCCACAGTATGAAACTGGAGGGTTTTACCACTTGTA